GGAGCAGAACCCCCCATGCTCCCTGCTTTTCACCCCACGGGTAGGAAGCCTGTGGGTGGGAGGGGGGGGGATAACTGGAAAACCAGCCTTCCCCTCCCCCCTGGGGACACCCCCACTCCCCTGTGCCCCACTCTGTGCATTGTAGCTTCTCCCCATCCATCTTCCCTGGAAACCCTCCCTATGACCCTAAACATCACCAGGTCCTGTGCTCCCCTCCGCTGGCAGCCCCCTCCTCCCCATACCCCTGCCTGGCCCTGCCCAGGTCCCCCCCAGTCCTCTTCACCCCTGTACCCCAGCTCAGTTCCCCTCAACAGGGCTTTGCTCCCATCTGGTCCCACCTCGCTCCCCGTGCCCCAGCACCTCCACCCCACACCGAGCACCTCCAGCTCCGCTCCGGTCCTCTCCGTGCTCAGTCACAGCCCCTGTGACACCCCCTGTGCCCTCCCATCCCCTTCCCCTCCCCTGGATCCTCTCCAGACCCCTCTGCTGCCTTCAAGACCCTCTCTGGGTTTCTGTGCTCCCCATTCTGGTCTGCCCCGAGCCCCTCTGGGGCCATCCAGACCCCTCTGCCCCTTCCTCCGCTCCTCCTTGCTTGTATTCTTCACAAGACCTCCACAGGGCACAGTATACTTCCCACCACTATTTCTCCCAAACAGACACCGGTGGCAGAGCCAGGGAGCTCCTGAGTGAGGGTCACACCATCCCCACACCATCATTTATCCCTGTGTGGGTGGCAAAAGCCTGTCGAGTGTATGGTTGTATTATTTTTCTCTGCTAAAGTGGCTGAAGCATTTCAGAGGGGTCCCCCAGATGTTCCTGACAGAGCTAAGGCCAGGCTCTGCATTTCTTTGGGCTCTGCACCACCCAGGACACACCAGCTTTGGTTTTCCACCAGGCTGGGTGGTGCCGTCAATGCGCTGGAGGGAAGGGGGGCATCCAGAGGGACGGGGTAGGCGGAGGGAATGGGGCCATGAGAACCTTGTGACGTTCAACCAAGCCAAGTGCAAGGTCCTGCACCTGGGTCGGGGCAACTGGGGCAACCAGCACAGACTGGGGGATGGATGGATGGATGGATGGATGGGTGGATGGAGAGCACCCTGTAGAGAGGGACTGGGGGATACTTGTGGGTGACATCAGTCAGCAATGGGTGCTGGCAGCCCAGAAAGCCAAGCGTCTCCTGGGCTGCATCCCCAGCAGCTGGAGGGAGGGGATGCTCCCCCTTGGCTCTGCTCCCCCCAGACCCCCTTGGAGCCCTGCATCCGGCTCCGAGCTCCCCAGCATGAGGCACACACAGACCTGATTGAGCAGGGCCAGAGGAGGCCACTGAAGTGATCTGAGGGCTGGGACACCTCTGCTCTGGAGAAAAGCTGCCTTGTGGGGAGCTGCCAGCCCCATTGGCTGCTGGCTGCACCTTCTCTCCTTTCTGTGGGCTGGAGCAGAAAACCACCCCCATGGGGTCCTTCCCTCCTTGCCAGCGCTGCCTCAGTCCTACTGTGCTCCCTCCTTCGTTTCGCAAAGATGCTGACCCCCACTTCTGGCTGATGATGCTGATACAGGCTGTTTATTGGGCCAAAAATCATCATTGCAAACATTAACCCTTGTAACATCAACATGGAAATGGAAAAGGTTTGTGCTTCCTTGGCTGGAAGCAGCCCTGGCCCCGACGCCTGGATGCGTGACCCTGCCTCCTCCTGCATCCTACCCTTGCAACTCCCAGCACCCCAAGGCAGCCCCCACCTTGGGGGCCCTGCCTGCATTTCCCTGCCCAGAACAGCCAACAGAGCCTCCTGTTTTGGCCCCAAACTGGCTGATTTAGCCTGGTTCCCCTTCTCCCCAGAGGATAAAACCCAGTGCTGAGGCTCCAGTGACAGTCCCAGCCTGTGCACTTCATTCCATGTGATTTTGATCACATCTTTAAAAATAAAAAAACCCCAAACCCACTCAAACCCAGCCTTCCCAGGGCAGAGATATTTCCGTGCAGCAATCGCTTCGATGCAAATTCTCCGATGTCCTATTTTAGGTTTCTCGCCAGCGCCGGCACTGGCTGCAGACGTCCGCGCTGGAGCTCCCGTCAAGCCTTTGGCAGTCATTGCGGTGGAAGGAAATAAGGGTTTGCCAGGGCAGAAAAGGAAATCTCTCTCCTCCTTCCCGGGGCGGTGCCACCCCACACCCGCAAACCCAGCTGGCATCAGCCCTTCCTTCCCTTCCCTGTATTTACTCATGTATTCCTTATAGTATTCATTATAATTTCCCATACTGGAGAGCACTGTGCATCCCCCACCTCTTTTGCCAGCATCTGGGGATATGTGCGTGGGGTTTGGGCCCCCCCGCGTAGCTCTCCAGCCCCACCATGCCCCGTGCAGCTCCCCGGCCATTGCAGGCAGCTTGCCCCAGG